GCTTTCACAGTAAGGTTGATGGTTTGAATCTCAAGCCTTTAAAGGGAAAAGACTTGTTCAGAGGTGGAATAGGTCTTGTGGTGGAAACCTGGAATACCCAGTTATCAACCATACAGAGGGGAAAAGGACTGGAAGGGCTTGGGAGGGACCCAGCATCCCCATTCCATGTCCTGCACTGGTTTCTTTCATAGATGATGCTCTGTCCCTGTATCAGCCTCACCTTATTGTTACTAGTTAGAGCCTGGCCTCACAGCCAGTGTTTCAAGACAGTGTTTGATGACCATTGCAGAGAAGTTGTCATTAATAACAGCATTAACAAAATGCTGAGCAACGCCAGCTCATCACTTCAATGGGGTAAATCCATCCCTCCTGCATGGCAGAGCTGCTTGGCATTCCAGCCCAAAGGTGGCCACATCCATTCCCTGTAAAACCAGTTAAAAACAGCCCCTCTGGATGAAAGGTGGTGGTACTTGAAGACAGTTATTTTATCTTGCTTTGGCTCTATTTATGGTTATTTATGACCTTACCCCTGCTCCACCCCACACATTACATGTTTGTGAGGCTTTTCAGTGGGGCTGTTACTGCTTTCAGAGCAGATCAAATCACGTTTTCCCACCCTTTTTTATCTTGTTTGCACTTCAGCTTCTCCCTGTCCCAGCACTGGCACATTTTAATGGCAGGAACCAGCTTTACCTTCACAGCCCGTTCCTGGCTCAGGTTCCTGCGGAGCTGCACCTTTAAGAGATGCTTTGGATTTGGCTATAAATGATAAAATGAAGCAGATTTCACCTTGTCCTTATGGATAATGATGTGCCTGCCTCTGCTACCCCAGTTTTCCCATTCACAGTCACCCCTGAAGGAAGTTTTGGGGATGTCTAACCCTTGTTTTGCAGCTCTCCATTTGAGATGAGGTGTGATGGAGCAGCTGGAGAGCTGGTTATGCCCCTGGCACAGCTTTGAACCAGCCCATCCTCTGTTTGATAGGGTAAATACCAGAAGAGGAACTTTACTGGCAAAGATGGTGATGGGACTGGGAGCAAAAGGGTGATTTCTTGGTCCCATGAGACCTGTGGCAATGTATAACCAGTTGATGTGGCAAGAGAGAAGGCATCTTCAGGCAACGTGCGTGTGTTGGCGAGCCTGCGTGTCCTGAGCATCCTCCTCTGGGATGCGGGATGGCTGGGGATGGATGCCCACGAGAGGAGCAGGAGGTGGCACGTTTAGGAGCAGGTTGGGCTGTGAGTGTGCCTGGTCGAAGCTGACGTTGCTGTAAGAGCAGGGGAGGTTGAGTTTTTCCACCTTGCAGGCAATCGGGGAGGAAAGAGATTGTCTCACTCCTCGGTGTACGTATATCTCGTCTCCGAGTTGCCCAGGCAACGCTGTATATGTTTGCAGGCTGGAAGGATGTGGGGATGGAAAATGAAGCCAGGGAGTGGACTGAGGAGAGAAGTCCAGCAGGAATTTTCCCCTTGGTCTTTTGTGGCCCATTGCTGAGCGCTAATAGGAGCTGCTCTCCCCAGGGTTCGTCATCAAATCCGAGATTTCCAGCTTTATGACTTTAAATCAAGCCCCGTTGCTCTTGGGAGGCCGTTTTTCGTGCTCATAATTAACCTCACAGAGGTTTAGCTTGAGGGGGGGGGGGCTGCAGGAGGGGAGCCAGCAGGCAGGGTAATACCATAGAAACACAAACAAGGTACAACATCTCACTCTATGGGCTGGTGGAGAGCTGAGCCCCTGGGGAGTAGCAGCTCCGCAGCAGTGCAGCTGCTCCTCCGACGTATCCCAGTGCCTCCTTCCTTGACAGGATCCCTGGAATGTCTCCATGGGCACTCAGGGCATGACTGTGGCTTGTGTATTGCTCTAGCACTTGGGGTTTTAGGATGCCCCAGGAGAAGCTGCTGCAAGGATGCTCCTGGATGGACCATAGCTTCTCCATGCTAAGGAAGCTCCTGGTTGCAGTCGATTGCCTGGGTTTAATTCCTAATATCTAATCTAAATCTGCCCTCTTTCAGTTCAAAGCCATTCTGGTGAAGGTTTAGCCAAGGTTCTTATTATCCCAGGTCATCACTTCCACGTGGGATCTTGCTGCCTGTGTGCCGTGGCCTTGAGTTTGCTCTTAGTGGTGTGGGATAGATGGATGCTGCCCCAGAGCTGCAGCATCCCTTGGGCAGGAGAAGGGAGGGAGCTCTAAAAGTAGGTTTGTGGGTGCCTTAAAGAGCTGAAAAAGGGCTTTAGTGAGTGTAATGAGTATAAGCTGAGGCACTCAGCACTGCCATAACCACACAGGCACCTCCTATCTATCCTTCCCACCGCTGTTTCCCCAAACCCATCTGGAACCTCACTGCATCGTGGGCTTCCTGCATGATGAAAAAGCCCCTTCATCTCTCCAAATCATTTTGGGCCTTTCCCCAGGCAGAAATGACCCTTTTTCCACCTCTTCCCCCTGCACCCCTGCCTGTAAAAGCCAACTTGTGCTCCAACTTCAAACCCTTTGGCATAAGGTTGGTGTTTCTGCCAGGCAGCTTCCCCCAGCTCTTCTGATCTCAAGCAAATAAATAAGGCAAGAACTTCACAAGGAAAAGGCAAGTGATGCTGTCCTGTTGGAAAGCTGGCATTCCCCACCAGATAAGGATCAGAGCGGCCATCTGGTGCACGCAGTTCTAATCTCATCGTGTTATTTCATTGCATTGGGTTGCATTGATTTTAGCTGCTCCACTTCCCAAAGCCAATGCAGGCTCTATGTGGGCTCATAGTGCTCTAAGCTCTTCCCTTTCCAGCCTAAAGGAGGTTTTTAATGTGGGAGACCAGGTTGCATATCTAAATGTATGTCCTTAAAATCAAGCTTCCAAGAACAATGGTGGAAGCAGCCCAAAAATGTGCTAAGAAGGATGAATATGTTAGGACTGGAGTCCAAGCAAAATATCAGAAGGGTGAATCAGAAAGAAGGAAAGGAAGGAGGGAAAAGAAATGGAAACGTATGGAGTTCTTACAAAGCTGGCTTTGCTTTTAATGGCAATGGCAGCTTTTCAGGTTGAGCTTTGAGTGCCGGAGAAATACGTCAACTGCTCCTGCCCCAGCCATAGACTGGGGGGATGCAAAAGCGCTGTTGCGGTGACACGTTCATGCTGGTTTCAATCCAGCCCCATTTAGAGTCAGACTCAGAGTGGTTTGGGCTGCAAGAGGCTTTAAAGCTCACCCAGTCGCTGGGATGAGCAGGGGATGGAGCCTGGCAATGCTGCAGGTGGAGCTGGGCTGCTTCACACATCTTCCTTGGGCAGGACAATGGGAGATGCACCCGTGGGTGCTGCATGGTGAAGCTGTTGGTTGAGCAGGTCAGGAGCCCAGCAGGAGGAGTATGGGGGTGATGCTAAACGTGCTAAGGAGCATTTTCTGGAGCAGGGATAGCCCTGTGTCCTTTGGAAGTGCCATCTGAGCATCACACTGCTGTTAGCCTGGTGCCTTATAACTGGTTATAGCATATATCTATGGTTATCTATATATAGCATATTTAACTGGTTATAGCATATATCTGTGGTTATATATATAGTATATATAACTACTTACAGCATATATCTATGGTTATCTATATATAGCATATATAACTGGTTATAGCATATATCTATGATTATATATATACAGTACATATAACTAGTTATAGCATATATCTATGGTTATATATAGCATATATAACTGGTTATAGCATATATCTATGGTTATATATATGCAGTATATATAACTAGTTATAGCATATATCTATGGTTATATATGTGCAGTATATATAACTAGTTATAGCATATATCTATGGTTATCTATATAGAGCATATATAACTGGTTATATGGTGTCTGCTCTCTTGGGCATCACCATATGCTTTCTGGTAAGTCCCCTAATCCACTTGAGTGCTTTGGGCAGGCTAAACCTAAGCTGTCTTCTCCTTATCATTCATTCTCCTTCCTTTTAGCGTTGTTTGACCTGTCCCATCGCTTCTCTTGCAGCTTCCCCACGTTACAGGAGGCTCCAGCTGAAAGAGGGCTGGTTGCAGAGGGCAGCTGAAGGAGCCAGGAAACACTCTAGTCGGGAACCCTTGTGTTTCAGTGCATGACAAGGGGAGAGAACTGTGTTCTCCAGGCTGGTGTGGTGGCGACAGGCAGAGAGGGAGGAGAAAGGGGGAGATGAACCCCAAATCTGGCCTTCCTCCTGGTGCCTGCAACACTGGTCAGGGTGAAAGACAGGCTGTGTCTCATTAATCTTCTATAAGCAGAGGGCGATGCAGTGGAACAGAGCAGTGGTACTGGATGAATGGCCTGCCCTTGGAAAATAAACACTTCAGGCTCTGCCTCAGCGTTTATTAACGCTGAATTCCTTTGCTATGCCCAAGTTGTGCTGCCCAAATCCAACCCAGGAGCTTGGGATGCGGGTGGGAAACACCAATGTGCAATGAGCGCATTGGAGCAGCCACAGCATTCGTCTGGCCTGGGAGTTGCCATGCTTCAGCTCCAAGCTGAAGGGTTTCTCCTGCTCCTAGGGGGTTCTCTCCCCATCACAGCAATGGGGTTGGAATGAGATGGCCTTCAAGGGCCATTCCAACCCAAAGCATTCATGGTTCTCGGCAGCAGGTGGGGAATGCAGCAGCGTGGTTGGGTTTGCAGATGGGGATGCTTCTCACCTTGGTCCCAGTGAGCCAGGGAGGTGGCACTTGCTCTGTCTCCATCCATCTTCATGCACCACGGGATTCCCACAAGCAGCACTTGTTTTCTCTTCAAATCTCTTCTGCCTGGTGGGGTTTTCATTCCCTTCCTTTGCAGAACCCCTCCAGGTGCTGTCTGGAGTCCACACGCACCCAAACAGGCCTCTAATTCTGATTCAGAGCGATGGTTATAATCTATAATAATATATAGATGTGGCTTTAATCATGGCAGGGTTTCACATAGGATACCTGTCCTATGTAATACAATGTCTTGCTGTATAAAGAATTGCAAGTTTGGGGCATTTTGTCCTACAGGTTCATTCACTTCTACTGCTCAGGAAGGCAAAACCACAAGAGGATGGTTGAAGTCAGGCATTCAACATCCCACTTCCCCCCAGGATCCCGGTTGGTGTTTGCTGGACAAGGCCCTGCACCAGGAGAAGGGTTTGCTGAGAGAGGTGAGTGGCTTCTGCTCCAGCCATGGACCTGCTACTTGCCTGGTTTTAGCATTGCTCAGTGCATCTTGTTCTACCTTTGCCGTGCTCAGGGTGTAAGAGCAGCAAGAGAACGTGTAGAGAGCTCTGTCAGTGCTTACACCTGCAGTATCAGAGCAACAACCCATCCCTTTATCATCTGGAGACAGGCTTTGGACAAGGGATGTAGGGACAGGACAAGGGGGAATGGCTTTAACCTGACAGAGGAGATTGAGATGAGCTCTTAGTTCTTCCCTGTGAGGGTGGCAAGGTGCTGGGATTCCATGGAACCAGGCTGGGATTCCGTGATCTCCGTGTGCAGCATTTCCATCTGCAGAGCAGGAGCTCAGCAGAAGGACACAAAGAGCACACATCCATAGGCAGAGCAGTGCGTGTGCCCCCTCCCGTGTATCTGCCATCAGGAATAGCAAATTCCATAAGCAGTGACGTTTGGGGCTTTACCTTCCTGGTGGCGAGAAGAAAACAAGCACCCCCCAGCTATGCTGGGTTGGAAAATACATGACATAACCTACACTGGCTCTTCATGTGATTCCTGCCATGCCAGCTTGGTTCCCATCCAGCTGAGCAGCCATTCCTGAGGATGGGAGAGGTTGAGAAGGGGGGGAATTTCCACTAAACTCGATTATTTTAGCTGGAAAAATAAACTCTTGCTGCAGCTCGAAGCAGATTCCTGCCTGGTGCCTCCCCTGCTTCACGTGAGATGCTGCCATGCAGCCAGAGGACCCGCTTCCACCCACACTGCTCCGCTTGTGTCATGTATCCCTTGGTCCTCAATAACCAAAGCTTCACAGGGAAGGGGCAGCAGCCCTTTGCCTTTTGGAATGCCAGCATCCTGGTGGGAAGCCATCACTCCTGGGTACAGCAGCCCTGTCTGACCCCCCCTTTTGTCTATGGGTCTCCAAACTAATGCTTTTTGTCCCCGAAACCACACTGCCCCACTACTCCCTGTCCCTTTGGTTGAGGAGGAGCTGTCAGAGCAGGACAAGGGGCTATTCTTCGTGGAGAACAGTGGGGGATCTCATAAGGGGGTGCCTGGCCCTCAGCCATCACCCACCACTGCCCTTCACACCTAGGTCACGTCTGGGCACTGGCATTTATCAGGACTGGGGCTGGTTTGGGTACCAGGAGTGGATTGTGCACAGAGGGAGGATGGAGAGATGGGGTCAGCGCTCGGGGATGGCCTCTGGGTGTGCAGAAGGGTCCTGAGCTCAGCACTTGAGCACAACTGATGCCATAGGCAGAGGTTTTAGCTTGTTTTCCTAATACATGTGCAGGTTTCTGGGGGGAGACGATGGCTTCTTGCTACGAGTGCAGATGAAGCATCCCCACTGGACCGAAGGGCAGCACTGCAAGCCCAGAGGCAGGCAGGGCAGCAAGAGTTAAGGGCTATAGTTCCTTTGCCATGTCCCCCTCACACTCCAAGGTGGCTGGGAGCCCCACAGCCCCATGTGCTGGTGCTTGGAGCAGTGCTGTTTGCTTTGGAAGGAGGGAGGCTTTGTCTGCGGAGCCGCCGGCCAGTTTTCCACAGCCCACCTTAGGAACTCTCCCCAGCACAGGCAAATATCCTCCTTTCCAGGTGCTAATTCCATGCCTGACCTCCCAGCAGAGGCAGATGTCAGTGTGTGTGTGGGATATTTGCAGGGATGGAGAGACCTGCCACCCTCATCCCTCCTTATGATCCCATCCCGCATGGCTCGCTCGTCTCTTCCTTTCTGCATGGTATTTCCCCTCGTTGCTTCATGTATCTTCTGCAAGGTGATGAGTCCAAGAAATCGTGGAATCATGGAATTGGAAGGGACCTTAAAGCTCATCCAGTTCCAAACCCTGCCATGGGCAGGGACACTTTCCATTAGACCAGGTTGCTCCAAAGCTCTGCAGTGGTCATGGCACAGAGTGTGATGGGTACCAGGAGCCTGGGGAGGATGCAGGAGGATGCAGGAAGAGAGTGAGGATGCTCAAGAGCTTCAGTGGACAATGCAGAAAGGGGATAAAACTCAGGGTTTTGACTAAGGCCAGTCAAGGTTGGTAGTTCCATCCACACAGAACTTTTCCTATGTGGAATGCTGTCTTTACTGTGTATTTTGAGTGGCTAAAATCCCAGAAGGAGCAAAGTCTAGGGGAAAGGGAGCTGAGGGAAGCAGGGCTGTACCATAGCTCCAGGCCGGGGGGGGTTAATGGCTTAGGGCTGTAAAGGACTGCCTTTGGGCTAGTGCTGTGTCCCTGTCTGTGGGTCAGGGCTGGGGGCAGTGTGCAGGGGATGGGCAGCTTTAACAAACCTCTGGTTTAGGTTTTCCTTCTTTCCCATTAGGAAAAGCTCATCTGGGATGGTTTTCACACCACAGGAAAGCCAAGCAGAAAGTTCCTCGAGGGTGGCCGACTTTCCATAGCTGCTTTCCAGGGGGATTTCTTCCCCATTCCTCTCAGCAGCTGTATTCACAGGAGCAATGGCCTAGATCCCTGCAGCCATCTGGAAAGGAGCTGTAGGGAATCACAGCCCTGATGTACCGAAGGTGAGTTCTCCCTATCCCAACACAGAGCCTCATCCATGCTTTGTCCTTAGTTGGTCCCCACTTCTCCATCTCTGGGTATCCTGAAATCATGTTTTTTTCTGCAGTTTGATTCCCTCTTGGATGTCTCTGAGGTTCTCAGTGAGTCTCAGAGCTGGAAACGTTTCCTTCTTCAGCACTGAAGGTGCTAAGGACATGATTGAGTCGCAGCATGAATTGAACAGCACTGCAATAGGGATGTCTCTGTGTGGGGTTGTCAGAATGCAGCAAGAAGTTGGTGTTACCCCAAACCCATGTATTGGGGGCTGTTAGGGCTGTTTCCTCTACTGTGGGGCTCTGAAGGCACTCAGAGTGGGTGCAGAGCTTTAGGAGCAATCTGCCTATGCCTTTGGGTTGGGAAGGGTATGGGAGTGTCTGTTAAAGCACAGCCCTGAGATGATGCCCATTGCGGTCTGGAATGCTCCTGGGAAGCGTGTAAAGGGATGGAGACAGCCATGTGCAAGAAAGCAGCTCCCAGGACATGGGGATGCTCATCTGGGACCTTGCTCCTCAGTGCCTGTGTGCTGTGCTATTCCTGTTCATGCTGGTACCCAGGGTCAGGAGAAGCCGTGTCCCTCTCCAGTGCTGCCAGAAGCCTTGCTGAGGATACAGAGGCATTTCAGAGCATCACCAGGCTCACTGGAAGCTCCAGGTTCACTTTCTCACGGGAAGAGCAGACTTGGCCCCTCCAATAGACCCAGGCTTCCAAATTCCCCCCTGCCTGTGTCTGTTTGTGCATGTGCAGCTCCCTGACATCCCGAGCCCCCGCTGTCCATCCCCGTGGCCTCGGGTGACTCCGTGAGCACTCCTAAGGTGAGTTATGAGGAGGGGGCTGGTTCCACCAGCAGCCCAGTGAACCCAGCATCCCCCCGCCTCCCCCAGAGCCATCTGACAGCTCAAGTGGAAATAGATACAGTCCCCATGCAGGCCTTGTGTTGTTGTTGGCAGAGGGACCCAGAGGCCTCCAGGTTGAGAGCATAAGGGGAGGAAAATTGTTCTCATCTGAATAAACATGATGAGCTCTTTGCCAGCAGCTCCAGTGCCCCAGCAGAGGAGCCACAGCTGGGCCATTCCCTCCCTTTGGGGTAGCTGGTTCGACAGGCAGCCTTGTTTCTCCTAGGGGATGGTGTGTTGCTTGTCCTTGCTCCAGCCTGGAGCTGATGCAGACACCCGTGAGCATCGTCCTGCTCTGATACAGTGCAGGTTTCTACAGTCGTGGTTCCCCAAAAGATGGGAAAGCAGAAGCTCAAAGCAGGATGAGGTGGTCCATTCTATGATATCTTCACAGGTATCATAGACTGCATGCATGTCAGGTTAAACAGTGCCTAGGTTGTTGGATGGTGGCTGTTTTAGTGGGGAACCTTCCCTAGAAAGCCCCACCTGGCTACGACTCCAACCAGCCCTAAACCCTGCTTAAGAGTCTTGTATAGCTTCAGTCTGTTCCTGATTGCCATAAAGCCAACCCCTGCTTGCTTTATGCTTCCTACCACCCACCAGACCTTTTCTCCCACTGAACTTCATAGCTTTAAGCTCATTCTATGTCTTGCAGGAGATGGTAGCGATTTCTAAAGCATCTGACAAAGCCCCATTCCAAACCCTCCCTGAAGTGGGAGCCTTGAGCCCCCGGGGGGTGAAGGACACATTTCATGTTCTAACATCTTCTCCTGCACCATTCTGGGTCCCTTCTGGCAGCACAAAGGGCAGGAAAGGCCACAAAGCTCCTTAAATTGTGAGTAGTTTTCCCTCTTTTAAACTGCATCAGTGCGTGGAAACGGCATCTGCGTTCCCCTTTTACTGCTCGCTATTTGGGGATGAAGGAAACAGGGGAGGTGGGGGCACTCATTCCTGACCTTGGGAAAAGCAGGGGGCTTATAAAAGCTCTTAAGTGCTGCAGGAATTATGAGGCAATTAAAGAAATCAGGCCAGAGCTGGGGCCGTGTCAATAAAACTGAGAGGAACTGATGTCAGCTCCACGCAGGATGCAGGCATTGATGCTTCTGCCTTCTCCTCCCAGCACTGAGCCCATGGGCTTGGTGATGCTGAGGCCTCGTGCTTCCCAGTGGCATATACTTGGAAATGCAGGAGTGATTTTAGGGCTTGGGGGGGGCCTCTTTTTGGTTGTGCCTTTGGGGTTCCGTTTCCCATTGTCTCTCAGATGTGGGTCATTCCCAGAGTGTGGCCTCGTGTCCTCAGATGGGGTTGTGGCTCGGGATTGTCACGCTGGGCTTTGAATGTTCCTCTTAGGTGTAAGTGATTTCTCGTGCACTCCACTCGAGCTGAAGTGCTGGTGACATGGAATGAACCCTCTCCTCTGCTTCCTCTTCACCGAATCCCAGAGAACTATTGCTGGGCTCTTAGGAACGGGGAGAGCATTTGCCAACGTCCTCTGCCCAGCTTTAAAACAAGGGGAAGGGGGGGAAAGAAAGTGTGGGGTTCAGTCTGTGTTTGCTAAGCAGCTTTACTTAAGCTTTAGTCATTTATTTGCTTACCTACAAGTGCTGGCTGGATCAGAGCGATGCAAATGGGTTTCTTTAGGGTAGATGAGGGCTTAGAATAAACCCCTGATGTCGCAAGAGGTGCAGCACGAGCTCCTTTGGGTTTGGGCTCGGTTTGGCAGCTCCCTCCTTATGTTTCTCCCTTCCTCCAGGGAGAAGGAAGTGGAAGCACTTCACATGAAGTGAAGGGACACAGACTGAGGAGGGTGATGGGGATCACTTGGGAATGAAAGGGGTGGGTGGGCTGGCAGCAAGCTGGGAGTCGCCTCACGCTGTTGCTCTTAGGGGCTGTCTCACTGGCACCTACTAACGTGATAAAACGCATGCTGAGATGCTGGCTGGGATGGAGGGTGGGCAGAGTGCAGACCCCGAGCCCCAGCCCCTCCATCCAGCCCCAAATGGGACCATAGACTCTTCCCTTAGGTGTAGAACTGCTCTTTGCGTGGGGTCTGGCATCTCTTAAGCTCTGGTAGCCCTGGTTAGCAGGGACCAAGCAGGCACCAGTCCCTTGCCCCAGGCCATCCTTGCCTTTTGCAGCTTGGTTTTTATGGGCACTGAGAGCAGCTCATTAGCTCCCCTGCTTGCTCAGGTTATATTTGCTGGCTTTCCCTCCCTATAAACCAGGAATGCACAAACAGAGGCTCGTGCTAAGGGAGCAGGTTATGGGGCTGGAGGGGAATGACCCCAGCAGCGAGGCTGTGCCGCCTCTCAGCTTAGCACAGGGTCCCCAGGGGCTTCCTATGGGGTCCCAGCAAGGAGAGGGTCAAGCTGGGGAGCTGAGGGCCCGTCCATGTGTCCCTGCAGGCTGTTGGGTTTGATACAAACCTCAGGAGCCCTTTAGCAGTAGGATTTGCTCCAAGCCTTTTTCAGAGGTGGGGAAATCGTGGCACAATCGGAGCCAGGATGGCTTCAGGAATGGGGAAGAGAGAGGAGTTTGTCCTATGCTCTTCATGTCATAGAACCCCAGACTGGTTTGGGTCGGAAGGGACCTGCTCTAAGGTCTCTCCCCTTAAGGAGCCTTCTCTTTCCAGGCTGAACCAGCCCAGCTCTCTCAGCTGAGGCTGAGCCTGTCCCTGAGCCTTTCCCACATGTTCATGCTCTGTGTGTGGGTGACAGCCCCAGAGCACAGCATTCGGCTCTTATCTCCTCTCCCTGTCTGGTTCCCCCGGTGCCAGCTCCAGATCAAACACAAGGAAGCCCCAAGGGCCTGGGCTATCACTGCTGGGAAGCAGACAGCAAACTGCATCTGCTAAAGTTCACAGCTTGAATGGCAGCAGCTCTGGCAGCGAGGGAAGATGTTGCTTCCTCTCCCCCTCTTCCATATAGGTATCAAATACGCAGTAAGGACACACATGGTGGGTATTGGATGCCAGCAGCTCTTCTCCTAGGCTTTGGCCCTGGTGGGAATGAAACCCCTGCCTTTAACAGCCCCTTCAGCACATTGCCATCCCCACATAACTGTTCTTGTATCCATATAACCTGCTTTACAGCACAACAGCTTTTGGGCAGTCAGCAGGGAAAGGAGGGTCCTAGATCATAGGAGGCCAGCCTGGTTTGGGTCTCACCCAGTTCCAACCCCCTGTCGTGGGCAGGGACACCTTCCATTAGACCAGGTTGCTCCAAGCCCCATCCAACCTGGCCTTGATGCTTTTGTCCTCGGATTTTGGTGATCATTAATAACACCTTTAGTGTTTTCTGTATGAAAGATGTGGGATGTAACAGCTTCCTGGTGGGAAAAAAGAGAGTTTATTCCAAATCTAAAGGCTTTGCATATGCAACACCTTGTTTCTGATACCTTTTCACTTGGTTTTCAGCACTTTGTCTTGCTCTTGTAAAAAACCTGCCAGTGTGAAGTACCTTTTTAGCTCATTTGCCTTGGTTTCGGTGAGATTTTGATGTATTTAGCATAGAGCTGCCTGCTTTTAACAAATGATTGGATACTAGAAGGAAGTATTTCTGCCTGGGTAAGAGGGGATGCTGCCCAAAAGAGGCACTGCAGCTACTTGTAGCGAAACAGAGGATGCTGGAACATCCCAGAGACGTGCCACATCCCCCTTGTCACCCCAGTCCTGCGCATGGCAGATGGGGGTACCCAGCAAGGATGCAGGAGCATCGCTCCTGCCTATGCACTCATTGTAGCTGCTGGTCTCTACCTTGTGATGAATCCCTGATGATTTCTCAGCCTGAGCCATGGAGTCACTTGCGTTGGATTAGAACCTGGAACTTGTACAGGCTGGCTGTGGGGTTTGTGGCTTCCTTTCCCTCTCTCTGTCTCCAGAGCCCATGGTTCGTAATAAATCACCTCCAGCCTGAGCTGAGGTTTGCTGCTTTAAGCTGAAGCAGCTTAGTTTTATGCTGATAAGCCAGGCTTTGAATCCTTCCCAAGATCACGGGTTGG